CCCCTAAATTGCTATCTCAGAATCAATGAAGTGGGGACTGACCTGCAGCTCTGTTCCTGGTCCCTTAACCCTGGGGACTGTCCCCTCAGAAGCCTACAAGGCCAGGCCAGAAAATAAATGGGTCAGGGAACGTATGACTCATCTAAAGGGAAGTCCCCACTGATCTTTGCTAAGTGAGAACCCCTAACGTAACTAGATTCTTTGAGGTTTTCTGTTTTGTTTTGTTCTCTCCAGAGGTTAGAGATCTGGATTTTTCTGTGTGGAACTGTGTGGTTTAGGGGGAGTTGTTTTGATCTAGGGATTTTGGCAAATATATTTGGAAACTGTGTTCAAACTCTGTAAAAACAGAAAATTCAGGGAACTAGCTTGACTGAGGATCTGACTCAGGAAATCCATGAGGGCATAAGCAGGTGCAGGCTCAGGGCCCTTCCTGAACCAGACCCCTACCAGAGGCACAGGAATCCATGTCCTCCCTTCCTCGTGTTCTACCCTGCCCTCAATTGCTAAAGGAGACATTCTTGGAGCTGAAGCCCAGCTTCTCTTCACTTTAGCTCCCTCATCTTTAAAACAGAATCACATCTCTGTGGTGGTGAGCTGTCAACTAACTGCAGAGGACAGTGCAGAGGTGATGTCCTCAGCCTGAACATATTCCCAAGTATGTGTTGAATTCATTGAAGTGAATCCCCTTCTAGGTAACTCATTTCAATTTGGAGAAATGGAAGGTAGCTAAAAATTTTTTTTAATAAGGAGAAACTTGAAGATACAAATATTAAAATTATAATATTCAAAACAGTATGGTACTAATGCTGCAACAAACTGGCAGATCAATATCTACCCTAAGAATAGTTCCTAATATACTTAAATACTTTATAAATGAAAGTGGAATAATCAGAAATCAATCAGAAAGACTTATTTGATAAATATCTTTGGAAGTTCAATCATTCCAGGAAAAAAATCAACTAAGATGGTCCTTTACATTGTAAATCAAAATAAATTTAAAAATTAATAATAAACATAAGAACCAAATAAAAGCCAAAAAACTCTCTACATTTAGAACAACTTTCTAGTTATAAAAATAGCAAGTTGGTCATGGTGGTGCATGCTATAATCCCAGCAGCTTGGGTGGCTGAGGCAGGAGGATTGCAAGTTCAAAGCTAGCCTCAGCTTGCGCTTCCTGCCCGCTTCTCGCCTGCGGCCCAAGTGTTCACAGGTGAAGAGATGGCATTTGTGAAGAGTGGATGGTTGCTGCGACAGAGTACTATTTTGAAGCGCTGGAAGAAGAATTGGTTTGACCTGTGGTCAGATGGTCACCTGATCTATTATGATGACCAAACTCGGCAGAGTATTGAGGATAAGGTCCATATGCCGGTAGATTGCATCAATATCCGCACAGGGCATGAGTGTCGGGATATTCAGCCTCCAGATGGGAAGCCAAAAGACTGTCTGCTGCAGATTGTTTGCCGAGATGGGAAAACTATCAGTCTTTGTGCAGAAAGCACAGATGATTGTTTGGCCTGGAAATTTGCACTGGAAGATTCTAGAACAAACACAGCTTATGTTGGCTCACCAGTCCTTTCCGAGGAGACAGTTGTGGCTGCTTCACCCCCTCCATACACAGCCTATGCTGCACCAACTCCTGAGCAGGTATATGGCTATGGTCCGTACGGTGGTGCATACCCAGCAGGAACTCAGGTTGTCTATGCTGCCAATGGCCAGGCGTATGCTGTGCCCTACCAGTACCCATATGCAGGACTTTATGGACAACAGCCTGCCAACCAAGTCATCATTCGTGAACGGTATCATGACAATGACAGTGACCTGGCACTAGGCATGTTGGCTGGAGCGGCCACAGGCATGGCCTTAGGGTCTCTGTTTTGGGTTTTCTAGAATCTTCAAGATCTTAATGTGCATAGCTGCTGATAATCCTGTGTGCAATAATATGATTTGCAGGGCATTTCTGTTTGTGACAAATGTTTTTAATAATAGTTTTAATAGTTCTTTTAGAAGTAGTGACCTAATAATTGTAACTAATCTGCATAAGAACCACAGAGAAAGGTTTGAACTGTGTTGGTTAAACACACTGGGGGCTCTGGCTCATACTCGGACTGTCCTTATGGAACTCTTGGAATAATTATTTGAATATACCTGTCATGAAAGGCATTTTCTTTACACAGGTGTAGTGCTGAAGGGATAATTTATTTTCATGTTGTACAATAATATAGTGATGAATGAGTGAGTGGTTGTGGCAAGGAAAACTGCAGCTTCTTTTGGTTTAACCTCAAACTTTGAAACCTCAGACCAGACTGGTTGCATGTTACCTTAGGAGTTGTGGACTGGTAAGCTGCCAGGTGGCTTCCAAAGGCAGTGGTGTGAGAGCCCCCACAAGCTACACTCTGGGCTGTGGGCCCCCAGCAAGACTGACTGCTCAGGATGACAGGGACACTGTCCCTTTAAAAATGATGCTTCAGAAATCTGCCTAATGCTAGAGCTGCTTATTCTCCTGTTATTCCTGTGTGTTTTTCATTGTAATACTTTGAAAACATCCTACATTATAAATTAATTTGAGCCTCAGTATTTTAAGGCTTTATCTTTAAAACTTGAAGAAGGCAGAACAGTAACAATTGTATGGAGCTAAATTATTCAGAGATACATTTTAAGTGTCTGCTTTAGGTATATTTATTGCCCGCTAAGCCAACTTACAACCTATTTTTCTATTTGTTGAGAAAATAATATTAAAAGAATGATAAGGAAA